TCTGTCACCAGCGTCTTTTACTGAACTAAGTGATTTGAGACAGTACAAAACAGGACCATTGAAATCTTGGTGTAGCTAAGAGCATTTTGAAGAGATTGTTGAAATCAAGATCCCTTTGTGGTATAAGAACAGCTTTACTATCTTGTGTAGCTATAGAATCAATGATGAGCAGACACTACTGTGTGGAATTTACATGGTAATTTAATGATTATGGACCTTTAGTCAGCTGTATCCGGGGAAAGGGGGGGGGGCATTTTATGAAAAGGTGGACCTTTTAACCATAGAGTTTGCTAAAAAAATCTAGCTTAAATTTTGGGTTGTTTCTGCAGGCCCCCTTCTACTCCTCAAAAGGCCTGTATAAAGTGCCAAGGGATCCACACAGGACAATATGCTCTGGTGCTGTCTGGCATACATTAATGTGTCTTATCACAACAATAAGCAGTACCTTTTTTATTAGTGTTAAAAACAAGTGATACAAGCTCTTAAACTGTTGCGCCTCCCTCACTCTTTAAAGTTGAAACTATAAATCAAGTAAAATTTAAATTAAAAAAAAAATCTTAATTCATTTCTTAACACAACAATTTGCTTATAACTCTTAGATACACATATTTTGGTACAGCTATATGTACATCTAAACAAGGTGACAGGTAGCTCCTGATGTATTCTTGCAACACAAAACACTAGAGTTGAATACAAATCACTTTACATTTAGATCTATTCTAGTAGCAGGGTCGCGGGGTGTGCAAACTAAAAGGCCCCTCTGGAAATGTCCTTTAATTAAACTAGTGGGATTGCCCAGAGAAATACAGGCAAGGTGTTAAATAGAGGTGCACAAGAATTCTCTTCATGCTCAAGTGACTGGCTCATCCTTCCCTCCAGCAATTTTCTGCCAAGTTGCATCTTCACTGAATTTCAAAATAACGTCATTCTGGTTAACAAACCCATTTGTCTCCAACCCAACAGCTTAGATAATTGGCATATAACACGCAAAGAAAACCAAATATAAAATTGCTTAAAAGAGAAGGAACATGATGCACATGAACAAAACCCTCTTGGCCAAGTTCAAATACATCTAGGTGGTCCAAATGTATGGTGAAAACTTTCAAATTTATTGTGGACTTTAATTTCTATATTCCCTCATTTCCTTCCATTTATAGGCAAGGGAAAGAAAGGAAGGAAGTTGATGTATTCAAGACCTTTAGCTAACCTCAGGCATCATGTCGGCACTATCAAATATGTATGAGGATGTCCGGTATGTTTGTCTCTCTTCCTGCTATATAACACTACATGGTGTGCTGACATGCTACCCTCTCGCCAAGCACATAAACTGCTCAAGTGTTAACTATAATTTTCTTTGCATGAAATATAATACGTCATATTCTTTAAGAACTCTCCAATTTCTTAATTTCTTTTTTTAATAATTTTTTACTTGAAACAGGACAAAAGTGTGCATTTTTTCATACTTTTACTGTCCGCACTGAAATAGTTGCAACCATTGAGGCACTTTGTATCACATAGGCACAAGACTACAGAAAGAAAGTTACATTATCTTAATTCGATGCCTAATGATTTTCATACAGGCTATATGTACAAAACTTGATCCTTGCCTGACATGAAATCATATAAAAGTCATGTGGTCATAGAACATGGAAACAACAAGTATTAGTAAATATCCAATGTGGTATGGAAACAACAAATACTAGTAAATAACCAATGCAGTATTCACTGCTTCCACCCTAACCCTGCCCAACAATCCATCACAGTCTTTAAATATGATGTAAACATGATACTGGAACACTGACTGGTATTCTTATGTTGTTTTTGGAAGAATATTTTCATGCATCCATAAATAAGTCCCCATAAAACAAGAGTCCCTGCTGGCAAATGACTCATACAATTTGAATCTGATTGATAAACACCAAATACACTTTTCAGCTCTTTTAATACAGCCTCTCACTTTTTATGCACAGAATATTAAAATCTTAGAAATAAAATCTACAGTCATTTAGAGACTAAAATAAAATTCTAAGGTTCTTTTATGTTTTTTCTCTCTCATTCTATAACCAAATGATCACACACAGGGCTAAGACATTTAGGATTAGAATATTAGACAGAAGTAGCTAGGCCTGGGAAAACTTTTCATGGCATTTCTACCATACTGACAAAAATATTCAGCAAGATTCAACACAGATACAAAAATGATAATGATTATTATTCATTGATCAATATATATATCATAACATCTAATGTATTGGGTCTAATCTACTGTCCCAGAAAGTGTACATGTCACTGTTACTTTTCTGAAAAAAAAATCAATCAATAAAATCATAATCTCTGCCATAATCTGAACTTATGTAATTGAGTTCGTGACCTTCAAATGCCACAATTAATGCAATGCAAATCAATCTCCCTCTTTTTGCACTCTCACCAGAGCTGATCCCGTCAATAATATTGTATAAGAACAATACAATTCCCATCACTATGCAATCTGGTCTGTATCCCTCTTTACAGGTCCATCTGTTACTGATGGTAGAACACAGGCTACACAAGATACCATTACTGATATATACACATCCATGTAATGCTTGGTGTCCTATTGATCAGGCAGGGGGCAATGAGCACTGCTTTTATAATTTTCTATTTCAAAATTTTATAATAATTACTACCATCACTATTAATGCATCCAAACCATATTTTGTTCTATATCAAAGACAAGCTAATGATCTAAAAAAGAGCACTAAATAATATATTACTAGTTAAATATATTTTCTTTTTCAATCAGCAATGTGAAATCCTCTGGAGACTTCAGCCCTCTCTCCAATCTCCTGTCCCCTCAATTACTGCTGTGAACAGGGCCTGTGTACTGAAATAGGGGCCCTGAGCAAGGATTATGAATGAAGTATAAAACTATTCACTTACATCCCTCCTGTGGCCATTCTAATCAATATAAGATTCCAGGATCTTTGCCATATCTTCACTGTTTCTCACTGCTCTGAAATGAGAAAACATACTGTAACATACAGGATTCTCAACAATAGCTAACACTGTCTCTTTTGTTTTATAGATGAGACATTCACACCTATTTTACATATATCACTTAATCACCTTTCTAGCAATATGAGTTCCATAATGACATGATATCAAAACATTTCCACCAATCAAAGGCTCTGTGCCTTACTATAAAAGTAAGTAATGAACTAATGCTGAGTTTCCCGATCATCTTTATTCTCCTCTACAAAACGAATAAAACTTAATTGCTTGTAATGTATTTACTATGTATGTTAATGTTCTCTTATACACCAGCCTTGGTACAAGTGTCCTGGGTCACTGCAACTTGACTCAACTGATTTAGATGAATCACAAGAAATAAGTACAATGCACTCATATATATGTTAATGCATTAGGTGCAATGAATGCAAAAAATGCCATGCCACATTCGTTCAACATCCATTATAGCAATATTGATTATGAAAAAATGTGGCAATGGAACACTGAAAAAATCTAGTGCAGCCTGCTTGGAATTATCAGAGGCAGTGCAAAGATAAAAACAACCAATTCCCACTTTATTGTTTATACCTTATTCTTGACCACTAAGACTGTTCAGGACATTTCAAAAGTTTGATCAATATATGGGTAAAATGGGACATAATACATTCAGATATTCTAACTGTGTGTGGCAATGATGAGTCATAACTGTATTGATGAGTCTCCAGTCAATATGTTCACTGCACTCAACCAGGCTGATGCTAATAAGCTGCAAACAATTCTTAATGGTTTAAGACAGTTTAGATAGTATATTGAAAAACCTACAGTACAATAATCATTATTATTATTATTTCATTTGTTTTGCCTAGCTTGATCAAGTGCCTTATCCTTTACATTAAATGCACACAAATCTTTCAAATGAATATAAACTATAAAACTTCATGCGATTCTTACTTTTCCACTTAATTTTTTTGTAATTTCATTTATTATTACTTCTAACAACCACTGGATACTAAAATGTGACTGTTTTGCACAATAAATTCATATCAGCTTTTATTCAAGCCTTAAGTGATGATTTTTGGGGTGTATACACACTTCATTCTATGAGAATAATGAACTGATCCATCATGATTCGACTTAAATGGAAAATTTTCATGAAAAAACAATCTGTGCTAGGTATCTGCCATATACCAGGTATGACAATGAGGTGTTCCATCAACACAAAGTAGCACAAACAGAAATAGGGCAAGACGAGTTGCTGTTATTCAATCTGGTTATAATTTCCAGTTAATATTTGGAGTCAATTCAAGGTGCAGTGAGTGACATCGTGGCACATGAGATTCAAGACACCCACACACAGTCTACTTATTTAACAATGTGATATCTCTAACATGACAAAAACTCCCAATATTGGCACAGCATGATAGCCCCGCCGTTGGGAATTTATAGCGTCACAATCGACTACAGAACTAAGATATTGACAACCGTTCATACTAACCACAAAAGTAATAATTTGGACTTACTACTCACCTTAGTAAATAAAACAAGTATTTCGCAAATAAGAAATAAACCAATATTTTCTTCCGATCACACCTAGCATTCCGGTCCGGAAGCCATTTTGACCCGTCTGGTGAGTCACGTGACTATAAAGTAATGCGAGTAAAATGTCTGTGTTTGACATTATAAAATCACAATTTTTGTGTAATGAAACCCAGAATAATATCTTAACATAAAGTATTTTATAAAATCCAATACGAATTTTTTATCATAAACCATTTTGCTTATTAGTTTATTGTGATATGTGCTAAATATATACACGCGTATTACTTGTTGTGAGTACTACGCCGGAAAATAATATCAAAAGACTAGTCCTCAAAATTTATAGATACAGTTGCATAATAAATAAAGAATCAGTTCTGTTATGATAAAAACCATTTAAAGGGAAGCATTTTTGTTTGCTCTAGGGTATGGTGTGCATATTTTCATAGATTTGGAGGTTTATTCACTTAAAGCGGAATGATATTATAGTTATACGTGGCCGCCGCCATGTTGGTCGGATGAGTTGGAAGTCCACGCCGATGACAGAAGTTTAGTCGACTTGCAACATATCTAAACTGACTTGAAGCGTTATACTGCGAAAAAACAGATATCATAATGGTAAGCATATTGGCAAATTAAAATCTGATGTATGCATAGGGAAAATATATAGAAATTAATGCTGAAAGACGTACCGGCTTGTTAAAATGATCAAAGCCACTTGTTAGAACGAAGGTCGGATCATTCATTGCCACGAATGAATATTTGACTCTCTTTCTGAACGATCAAGCGAATAACTTAAGGTTGTGATCCGTTTGAAAATTTGAAATTATTTTAGTTCCTTAATAAAGGCAGTGTTTGAAAGCAGAAGGGTAGTGATCAATCTCTTTCCTGAAGATGTTCTAAATTTGACATCCACTTGTTTTTATTATTGCTAATGTTTCCAAATGTAAAACTCATCAGTACATGACTCCACTTTGTCTTTAATCAAAGAACTGTGTCAGCATGGCAGCTATAAAATCTGAGTTTAGGATCAGGCATGGGTTGATGAGAAAAACAACTTAAGTCAACAATGCCACACTTTTATTTCACCAGTCTTATGTATGTATAATAGGGGTGGGCAAATGAAGGCTTTTTTGAGAAATTTAATTTCAGACAAGTGGATTCTATGGCCATTTTGGCTGCTGAATACAAATCTAATAAGTATTTTCATTTTAAATTACATCTGATATTGGTATCAGGTGATTTTTCAAAATGGCAACCAAACGCTCCCTCAAATCACATATTTCTCATGTAAATCTTTAAATATCAGTTCAAACATGGCTTTTTATATGTCTAACCATATGATTTCATGATCAATGAGCATAAATAGATACATCATTTTGGTTGGGTCACTTCATTTTGGGNTTAATCAAAGAACTGTGTCAGCATGGCAGCTATAAAATCTGAGTTTAGGATCAGGCATGGGTTGATGAGAAAAACAACTTAAGTCAACAATGCCACACTTTTATTTCACCAGTCTTATATATGTATAATGATAATTAACTTATACACAATAATGAGATTCACTATCTGTTACAGGTGCTTTTGGCAGCTGCTGTCTGTAACAAGACAGGCAAGGGTGAGTTTTTTTTTTTTTTTTTTTTTTTTTTTTGTAATGACAAACTATGGCTATACTTGAAGTAGTGGTGAGGTCTGATTTATCACTTAAACTGTACTACACAGGGCTAATATTAAACTTTTTTTTCATATCTACATTACTAAATAAAACTGAAAGGAAATTGAAAATAACTCACAGGAGCTGTTTAAAAGACTTTTTATGGGTCATATGAGCTGCCAAAAACTCCCTTAAATGTTTATTTAAAAGTTTTCAATGTTTTCCCTTTTCAGCCATAATCTCCCGTCAGTTTGTGGAGATGACCAGGTCCAGGATCGAGGGTCTGCTGGCAGCCTTCCCCAAACTGATGAATACAGGGAAACAGCACACCTTTGTGGAGACGGAGAGTGTGCGCTACGTGTACCAGCCCCTGGAGAAACTGTACATGCTGCTTATCACCACTAAGGCCAGCAATATCCTAGAGGATCTAGAGACCTTGAGATTATTTGCCAGAGTTGTAAGTAATGGATTTTAATTATTCTGTTGTATTTCATTTTATCGACAAATTAGATCAATTTTCATTTTATAATTTTATGTATAAATATGACAGTAAATTATTATTATTATTAATTCATTTTCTTAATTGTTTTATTCCCAGGATCCTCACTGATGCATTTTAGTTTTAGACGACACATTTTCATTTCATCAGATTTGGAAGAATCATTGTAAAAATCTTTTGCTTCCCCCATCATATTGGTCTTTATATAATATTTGCACTTAGTTTGATCAAGGCTTGATATTGCCCCATAAAAATATGTGCTTTGAATAATGATATATACATTTAAAGTGGTGAAAACTATATCCTCAATATTTTGACATCTTGTACTTAGTGCAAAAGCCAGGTTGTTACTTTATGAGCAATATCGTGTTTGCCTATGATTATCACCAAACTGTTTCGCACCTGAGACAACAGTCATGCTGAACACATTTCCCGCTAATATGAGGCAAACTTAAAGAGAAAAGACAGCATTGTTTGTAAGCGAGATCTTAAACTACAGATTTAGTCCTTTATAGATGAAATTGACCTTGATGCAAAAAATTACCATGCCCACCAATTGTTTCTGTTTAGTAAACTGACCCCTATTCAATTGGTATTGAAAATGAGCAGATAGAAATTGGCTTGACACTTACTCATACCCTTGCATTCAATTTGTCTAGATGTCAGAGAATTTGTTTGGCTTATTTCTCATTTTGAGGCAAAATTACATTAACTGCTGTAAGATGAGTAAGCCAGTAAGGGACCACATTTCACTCTTCCTAGTATTTATAAGCTGTATATATATATATTTGAATTGCAGATCCCAGAGTACTGCCGAGCCATGGAGGAGTCAGAGATAGTTGACCAAGCATTCCCACTGATCTTTGCCTTTGATGAGATAGTGGCACTGGGATACAGAGAGAGCGTCAACCTCGCCCAGATCAGGACCTTTACTGAGATGGACTCACATGAAGAGAAGGTGTTCCAGGCTGTCAGACAGGTAAAAACATATCTTTAATGGTCTTAATGAGAGTCTGGGATTGAAGTCCAGCTGTCAGACAAATCTAGTACAGTTTTATGGTCTTATTGAGACTGGGGTTATTCATCATCACTGATCTGATAGGACAAGTGCACATTTAAGAGTTGTTTTGATCAATTTTCATCTACTGTAGATCACATCTTGGGACAAGTGAACATTGACTTGGACACTTATAAATGAAGGTAAAAGCTTAAAACCTGTTATTTCTAGACACAAGAAAGAGAAGCCAAGGAACAGATGCGTAAGAGAGCAAAAGAACTCCAACAACAGAAGAGGGAGAATACCAAGCGCGGCGGACCAGCATATAAAGGGATTGGAAGCAGCGACTTCCGCTCCAGCTCATCTGTCATGGAGACGGCACTTCCAGAACCAACCAAACCTGCCTATACTCCTCCAGCGTAAGTGGAACTTTTCTAGAAATTATTGCATATTCCTGTGACATTATTCAATTTTTACTATTGCTGACTTGTGTATCATGAGACAGAAACAAATCTGGCCCCAGATTCACAAAAAAAAAAAAAAAAAAAAAAAGAAAAAAAGGGTAAAAAGTCAGTTCCCTGGCATAGTTGACTAGGATTTCCATGAGTGTGCTGTAACACTGCTCCTGATAGGTTAAGTTGTGACCATGTAACCTTGGGAATTAACTTCTTAGTCAAGGAACCTGACTGAATTTTTTTGATGAAACTGGGACCTGGTCTAAACATGCTGCTACTACTGCCATTCTGCCCAAGGGCAAAGGATGATGATGGTGTCGATGTCTAAGGTCCTTCACTGTCATTAACAACCTGTTCTCTACCATGTACCAGGCTGGTGTTCAGCGAAGGAAGAACAATTACTCAAACTCGATCACAGGTCTAGACTCTATTCTAGATCTGTTTTGCACAATTTGATACATTTTCTCCTTGTTTTGTTTATATCTTATCTTCATTGTATCTTAGGTATACAGTAAATTATTCAAGTATATTGTCAACTCTTTTTAGGTGGTATTGGCAAAGTTTCTCTTATACTAATTGAATATTGTGCTTACTTTCACTGGCAAGAAGATTGAATCAAGTTTTATAGTTTTTATCATCCAAATTTAAAGTGTACTTACCTTTGCAGTATTTGAATCAGAACCTATGTGCTATTAAACATGATGATGACTGCAAAGTCTTGTTTTCCTCTTCCAGTCGTCCCTCTGGTACTGGTAAAGCCATGAAGCTAGGCAGTAAGACTAAAGATGTGGACATGTTTGTAGATCAGCTGAAGTCTGAGGGACAAAGTGAGTAATTTTACTACGTGTTTCTTACCATTTCTGTGTTATAGTTCTCTGGTGACCATAGAAATAGTTTCCTCTCACTTAAGTCAGTAGCAGTATATTGTAGCTGAGATGGTCTAGGTTGTGCAAATGTCTCTTTACTCTCAAAGCTAGAGCATTAAGTCGGGGCCAAGTTGTTCACTAATAAGACATGCAATATTTGTTTGGTCAGTGACCAGAGAAGGCCACTACCATGCCTGTTGCTTTATTTGCAAGTTTTATTTAGGTAAAAGTTTTATTTAAAGTAATCAATTATGACAAACCTTTTTACAACACAGTTTGACAAATGGTGAAATATTCTGTCCTGCATCATGACATTTTGCCAGTGATTAATACCAAATTATGTTTCGCACCTGAGTAACAGTCATGCTGAACATATTTCCCGCTAATATGAGGCAAAAAGGACAGTTTTGAAGTAATGAGTTTCAGAAGATGAGGGTGAAAGAAATCATCAGTGTGATGATAGATATGGCAATACTTTGATTTATTTTGCAGTAATCAAGTGTTGTGAGTTCTACTTTATTACGTTCAAGATTGCGACACCTGGTGTGATGCGTAAGCAATTCATAAACTAATATACTACACAAGTATGACATAACTGCAGGGATGTTTCCTGCCCAGATGTTCCTGGGCAGTGCCAGTGGGTATTAATTATGAAAACATTTCCTAATGTTTAATATGTTAACCTTCCAGATGTGGTGAGCACTAGTTCAGGTAAACCCTCAGCAGTGTCCAGGGCAGCAGTGCCAGAGGTCAACCAGGAGAGGTAAGACTGGACATTGGGGACAGGTGGGGATGGGAGGGGCAGGGACATTGGGGTTGGACAGAAGACTGGACATGGGGGTGTGGAGAGGGGTTGCACACAAGAGATTGGGCATACAGTACATTCAGTTGGACAGATTGACAAGGCTTAACAAGGGAGGACTTTTGTGTAGATAAGAGTATATTAAAGTGGAGGGTTTCTTAGACACTTGAATATATATGTGGCTATATATTGCGCACAACATCCTCAGTGGTCAAATTGCACTGAAGACAGCTTAGTATTATGTGGCATTAAATGGAAGCTAATATTTTGTGAGTTATCTGCATTTAAACTCCATATGATTAATTTTATTTTTGTGTTTTAATATATATGTAGACAATATGCACAAGTATTAAGACTGGTGTGTTATTTGCAGTGTAAACATCAACGTGGAAGAGAAGATCAATTTGACAGCTGGGCGAGACGGAGGTCTACAGAACATGGAGGTCCACGGTCTGGTCACACTGCGCGTCACAGACGAGAAATACGGGAGAATTAAGATAGCAGTCAATAATAGAGACCAAAGGGGGATCCAAGTACAGGTATGGGGTGCTTGTATAGTGAAAGATTTGTTCTGCATTGCTCAGTTTAGAAAAGATTGCTATATGTTTAAGGTTAAGGTTAGGTGAAGATGAAAGGCCTAAAACCAATTATTGCAGCGTCTAAAATTTTTGCATGATAAACTGAGCATCTTAATTCAACAACAACAACAACAACAAAACAATGCAGCGCACAGTTTCAGAGAAAATATACAACATTATGCTTTTAATTTGATTGCAAATTAATTCAGTACAGTTTTTGTCAGAAATTTCTCTTTTAGCAGCATAAAGAAGTTGGTTCTCATTAATGCCAGCATGTTTCACTGTTTTCCTCACTGTATTTTCTCCAGACTCATCCTAATGTGGATAAAAAGCGGTTTGCCTCAGAGTCTTGCATAGCCCTCAAGAACCCAGATAAGTCATTCCCTATGAAGACGGATGTGGGTGTTCTTAAATGGAGGTTCCAGACACAAGATGAGAGCTGTATGCCTCTATCTAGTAAGTCACCTGTGTTAAGAGAACTACAGCCTTGGTTCAAAACTGCTGGCTGTTTATTGAATGCTCAAGTTGCTGAAAACAATATTTTACATCCATTTTCTTGTTTAGAGGAAAGTGTGCGAGGACGTTTATACATTATGAACAATGCTAGTGATTAGAATCTGAGGCTGTCCACATCTAGATTTTTGTGATGAAAAATGTCCAGTTTATTGGACAGGTCAGATAAAACAACAGGATTAATTTTATGCAAATGTGGCCCATTCATCTAAGAAACTGATGGGTTTTTATTAAACAAAGATAAAGGACAGATAAGAGAAGACTAGTAAATGAGGATGAAGTAATACTTAATAAATGATGCATCGTCAATCTTTCCAGTAAATTGTTGGCCATCAGAGACCAGTAGTGGGTGTGATGTGAACATAGAATATACACTGGAGCAAGAAGATATGGAACTAAATGATGTAGTTATTACCATACCACTACCGTAAGTATAACAAGAAGATATGGAACTAAATGATGTAGTAATTACCATACCACTACCATAAGTAGTGGTAAGTACAATAAATTGCACAAAAGATAAAGCACCATGCTGGAATGATGTTGAATAAAGCCCTGAACCCAAGGTAGAATTGAAGCAGTGAGAAAATTACAATTTCATGATATTAAGATACAGTTGTATTGTATAATAAGATATATTGTATATATATGGGATGTTAACTGGTCATATACTCTCCACAGCCATGGTCAGTCTCCAGTGGTCAGTGATTGTGATACAATTCTATCATAATAAGATATATTGTATATATATATGTGATGTTAACTGGTCATTTCCTCTCCTCAGCCATGGTCAGTCTCCAGTGGTCAGTGATTGTGACGGAGAGTACAATTTTGACCGGGCAAAGACTCAACTTGAGTGGTCCATTCCTGTCATAGACTCTGGTAACAAGACAGGCAGTATGGAGTTCAGCATAGGAGGTCATCCTGATGACTTCTTTCCAGTCCACGTCTCATTTGTTTCCAAGAAATCTTTTTGTGATATAGAGGTATGTGTTTGGGTGGGCTTTTTTTAACATTGTTGTGTGACAGATGTTGAAGAGTTCATCTTGTCATGGATCTTTGATGATAATTTTAAAGGTTTATAAGAAGTTTAAATAGTAGATTATAGATGTAAATTAAAGAAAGAAATTATGCTGCGTATTTGCTTGAAAAATTGTTGAAGACTGTTCATAAAATTGTGACAGGGATGTGGTATAACTGTTTGGTTTGTGTAACTTTTAAATGGAATTTTTTTAATATTTCAGTTAATTGATGTTCAAATGGTGGACGATGGTACGCCCGTCAAATTCTCCTCACAAGTTCTCTTCTTTGTGGACAATTATGAAATAGTATAACAGATGCATTCAGTATGCCTCCTGCCAAACGGATTAAATCTAGAACAAACTTTAGTTAATAGTGTTGGAATAATTGAATTCACACTGCCGTGCTGAGAGGAAAAGGCAACTCTAGAATACACGACCTTGGATTATGAGGAAAAAAATAAGGAAGGGACAAAATTTGTGAAGTTTTATGCAGCAGCAGCAGCTATTCCATCTTGTTTTCATAGCAGTCATACTATGTTGGAGTTAGATAATGTAAACATGTGGAAAGATGTCAAGAATGGCCAACACATGCTGAATTATTTAATGTTCACATCTTCAAGTATCATTCATCACAACTGGCTGTCACTAGAAATCACTTCATCATTAAGATTACAACTACAGGGTTTTGTTTCCATAGTGAAGGGAGGGGGGGGGAGTGACAATTGAAACCAGATTTTTAAAAAATTATATAGTGACAATGAAGTTGAAAGGGCTAGAGTCTGGGAGAGAATGGATCTTTAGAGTTTAGAATTACCAATATGTCAGTGTAATGAGCAGTTGCCTGGACTTCTGTGCTCACGTTCTGTGAAGAAAAGATGTATGTGTATTGCCAGGTGGAATAATGGAATTACTGTGGCCATGAAGTGCAGGAAAACTGAGGATTTTGAAAGTAAAAGTAATGTGGGGCATGTTACATTTGATCACAGGAAGAATATAAGCCTTGGGTAAAGTGTTGTAACATACATATTACAAAAGGACCTGATTGCCTTGCACTAAAATTATTTATATTTATCTTCTTTGTTTTTGCATTCATTTAAAAGTCAAGAAATTTTAAGACGTGGAGTATTGGAAACACAATGAAAATCATACTGAATTTTACTGGTTAAGAAAAAAAAACTTGGTTTGCTGTCAAATTATAGTGCAGACATTGATAAATGATGGACAAGAGACCTTTACGTGATACGGAGAAAGGAGGCCGGCAAGGTGCAGTCTTGTGTGTTTTGGAGCAAAATGGTGGAACTTGGTTTAGTTTTTTTGCTGCATCTTTTCTTTATGCATTCAAACTTGTATATAAGATGTATTTGTATATTCCATATATTCTGGGGTTAAGGGTTGGTATGCCCTGAGAAACTGACAAAGTAAAGGCTATTGTTAACAAATCGGTGCAATTAAAATGCATGTACTGTAAACTGTCTGATTTTTGTCTTACTTTTCAGAAATTTTTTTCGGCAATGCTTCTGACAACCTTGCAATTTTGTTACTAAGATCTAATGCAGAGCTTCTGAGGCAGAGTGATATTTCAAAAACTGGTGTCCTTTCATTTGGGGGCACTGTTGCCGAAATGTTTTGAATGCAAGTAATAGGCATTTGAAAACTTTCCATTTCCTTTAAAAAGTGCGATATTTCTTCACCCCTTCTGTCTGCCGTGGTAAATGAAAAATAGCCAGAGAATGAGGCAAGATATGTTTCAGTTGTCTTTACCATGATAAAGTCCTTTTGAAGGCAAAACCTGTATAAAAATTACTCTTCTGAAATGCTGTCTGGCTTTATTTTCTAGTTGACCAATTGATTTGCTTTTACATCAAAACTAATAGTCCTTTTCCAAACAAGCATAACAAATAAAAAATTTCAATCAACTTTTATTTCAATAAAATATCAGTAAACGATGTAGGTGAAACTTACTTTAAATCACTGCACTGAGTATGTTTCGTCTGGTAACTTTTTCTCAGAAATATTGGAATGAGGTACTTATCTAAATGTGGTCATAATGATAAATATAGCTATATAATATATCAAAGCTGTAATTAAAAGTGGATACTATGACAAAAGTACTTGATAAATTTACTTCCAGTAAGAATGTCAATAATTATCACCAGTGAGATCATAAGCTGTAATTGTTTTCTGTAGAATAATTAGAAAGTATTAATTTGGAGAATGGAAAAGTTCGTTAGTTGTCTGTTATTCATCAAATGCTATCAGTGGGAACGGAGTGCAACTAACCCTAATTAATTAATCTTGCTTTCATTTTCCTCTCAAAGCTTGAACATAACTGCAGTAGTCATTTACTACAGTACAACATAATATGGGACAAAGATTTGGGCAACAACAACAAAAATAAACCAAATATGAAAAAAACCTTACTTTATATTTTCTAAATTTGCAATATATTGCAGCTCTACATAATAGATATACACATCAATTCCACTAACCCTGACAACTTCTAACCAGGATTTATGGTGGTAAAAGCAAATTAATGTAATCATCACAAAATAAGCAGAAATCGCCTGTAGGGCTCGGAAATAATACCTTTTGGATCATGACTAACTCAGACTAAGTATAAAAGATGACACTTATACTGGTAATAAATAAATTATAATAAAAGCTAAGGTAAACTTCACCAGTATCTCTAGACTTGGGTTTTTTTTTCTGAGAACTTGTCAAAGCTCTGATTGCACAGGGGGCCTCAAACAGTTGATTAATAGCGTGGGATTTTGCAAGACAAGCATTCAAGCAATCAATATAATATATTTGTTCTGATAACAAAAATTGGGAAAAGAAAAATAAGCAACCAATATGTATAAATATAATTATAGATACTATAAACGTTTTACAGATATCAATTAACTTTTAAGTTATATATGTTTGTACGTAAAGAGATTTATCAATGTATATAATATTAACAACACTTAAACCAATGATGATAAAGTAACATGATGCAATTATGCAATAAAAATCAATTATAAAGCTGCAATATAGTGGCACATTGAATACAGCTGAAATAAATTAAATACTTCATTAATAATAACTGAAACATAGGAGTAAAATTGCACACAATATGATTTGACTTATAATCATCTAAAACTTAGTCCAGAAATAGGTCATCCAAGAAAATAACTCCTGCTTTTCATCCATGTTGATTTCAAATTGACCTCATTTCTCTCTCTGTCACAGCATGTGCTGACCAAATTTAAGTGCAAGATTACATTTCATGTTGAGATCAAATCTCATCAATAAATTCTGCAAACTGTAAATAAAAAACAGATAACATATGCCTAATTACAAATTACATCATCTGTAAAATGTTTACACTTTGCATTAGCAATAAATAACACCAAGCTGAATACTTAGATTTCATATATATTTTGATGTTGTAGCTTATTTGTTACCAAGCATGTTATATTTGGCATATAGCCTACTCAATATGGGTATGTTAATGTAGAAATAGTTCAATACTGATAATGCTTACAAGGTATCCAATACAACACTAAGTTAAAAGATCAATGGATAAAGCATCTTTGAATAATAAGAATCATAGATCATGAATTCACTTTTCACATAAAGCCAGAATAATAATAAGTCTTTATCACCAGACACCAGTACTAATGCATTGTTGTTCTGTAAATATTTCACCGAAGTTTTTCTTTGATCTCTTTAGAAGTCTGTACACAGTACCCCGTGTTTCAGAGTGGAGAACTATATTTTTGTATATTTTGGTTATAGAGGATAGTCTCTGCCATCCTCAGGGTATAAAGCAGCTTCCTATGTCAAAAATAAGTGCATTTTGAGATTAGATTCCTTGTTTTATACAAATTGTTCCTTGGCTCTTAGGCTCAGGTTAATTTCAAGACTTTCCCCTACAACTCTGTTCTTGTTAGCTTTAGGCTGCAACATTCAGGGCAACTGTCATCACCACATCCAGAATAATGTTGTTTATTAATTTATATGTACGATTAAGAAGAACAGAAGATATTCTATATTATGACAAGCAGCAATTTTTCAACTAAATGCAAAGCAAAAGATGAATAATGAAAATTATTAAAGGGGTATGATCCCTTCATCATACTTCTGTCACTAGTATTAGTATATATAATTCACAAGAATGATCATAGGTCTAACTAGTTTGCTTAAAAGAGCACAAACATTGTTTCATATGTATTGCACATGTATCAAAACTGGGAAAATTAATGAAAATTATTTATACTGGAGACTTTAGATCTCAGTCTATCAGCACTTCTATTAGCCTTGCAAATCTTTTATCTTTAACAAATCTATACCAAAATTGTGCTTTTCTGTATCACAAGGTAAATGCGGAGCAGGGTAAATGTACCTGACTGCTTTTAGAAACGTCAAATGCATATTTTACAATTGTGCTTTTACTTTGTGTCTATTACCACTGCACATCTACATTACACTACTGCTACATAGGCCACATTCAGACCAGTAGACTTAGGCTTCGTTCACATGCAATGTCTATTTTCTAAATTCTATTTTCTATTCGCG